ATCTAGTGATAGATTATAGACCTGTGTGAAGCAGCTAGTATTTGCTTCGGATTTGGATTTGGCTAATTAGGGGTACAGTGATTCGATTTGGTGATTTGCACTGTCCTGAATCGATTCGACCAAATCTGATTCAGAGATTTGGCTGCTTCGGAGAGCTTTGAATCAATTTGGACCTTTTTATTGGTCCCCCGATTTGATTGGATTTGGAGATTCGGCCACCAGATCAGGCTGAATCTCCTTCGAATCAAATCAGCACCCAAAGTTCACACAGCCCTAATAGATTACTATATTAGAAACTGATATATGCTGTACTGTATAAGATAGCAAGTGTAATTTAAACAATTTAATATGTATAAGACATTCATGTTGAAAGCAAGTGAAACTAGGTTTTCATTTTGTTTATCCATTGTCTGGAAAGCAGTCTTCCAGAAGTGGTGTAAATAAATAAATGATAATTTAGCACAGGGGTGGGCAAAGTCTGACCTGTAGGCTGGATCAGGCCTGCTGCAGACTCCATTTCCCAGCAGCCCCTGCCTGTGTTGTTGCGGCTAGTTTTCATGGAGACCCCAGCAGCAGTGGGACTTTGACAGCACAGGAATGGAGACCAGCCCCAGCAGCGCTGGCAGGGCAGGGAGCTGCTGCAGGGCTGGGATTTTGCAGCAGTCATGTGGTCTGGCACCAGAGTACAACTGTGATCTGCTGCCCACATGCCCCAGGCAGGGGTGCACAGGCAGAGGATTGCAGCTTTGCCCTGGCTCTGGACTGCACTGTCACTACCGCAAGATCTGAGCCCCAGCCCCAGAGCAGCTTCCCAGCCAGCCGTGTATCCTGCCAGCCCTGCTGGGGCTGGTCTCTATGGAAACCCTGGTCTTGTGCTGTCACGGTCCCGCTGCTGCTGCTGTGGTCTCCATGGAATCCAGCTGCAGTGACATGGGCAGAGGCTGCTGGGAATGGGAGTCTGGCCACTGGCTGGATCCACTATTTTGCCCATTCCTGATTTCCTGCTTAAAGTGTATACTTTAAAAAACCCATGAGGAAACACAACTTATTCCTAAGTAGGGGAAGAATGTGTAAGATTAGAGAGGGAAGACTGACCTGGTGATAAAGGACACGCTTTTCCAGTATACTTGAAGGCTGCGCCTAAAGTTCTGTAACATTTCAGCTTCCATTAAACAAGTTTGTACTCAGGTTTTATGTTTATAAGATGATTCTCTACATATAAAACACTCTAGCATAGTGGTTCTCAGCCTGTTTTGGACCAGGACCCATTTGTAAACATCAATGGCCAATCCTGACCCAGTGCACTTCTCTCCTGGCCTGCTGCCCTCCAACCCCAGCCCCACAGTGTGTGTGTGGAAGGCAGGGCTGCAAGCAGCCCTTTGCAGCCTAGAACTCTGCCAGTGTGGAAGGGACAAGCCACGGTTTCCCATGTTTTTTTTCTTCAGAAAAGAATCCATTTTAAAAGTTTGTTCACAATCCTTTCAAATATTCTTGCAACCAACAGATTGAGAAATGCTGCTCTAGGACAGCAAAAGCACAATATGCTGATAGGAAAAGGGCAGAACAAATGGTATGGACTAATAGTTGCCTGGAGGCATGACAGTGGGTCATGAAAGGTATTGGAATGCCTACTTCCCAAAATGCAACGTTCATTTAAGACAGGGGTTTTCTACCTTTTTTAACAAGTGTACCCCTTCTGCCTCAAAGTTTCAGCTCATGTACTGCTTTATATTTTTTTCTTGTTTTTAGGAGGGGGGGGGGGGGCAAAATTGAGGCCCCTCTGGTGTGGGAAGGAGCGCAGCCAGGGCAGAGAGCGGGACAAAGCTGTGACAGTGGCTCATTTGGGAGGTGTGGAGATGTGGGGGGGGAGGGAGGGGAAGCTCCCACCACAACGTGCACTCTGGCAGTGGCCTGGGGCACGTGTGACCCCCAGGTACGTGTGCAAGGCGGAGGCAGCTACTGTTGCAGGCTGGACTCTGCTCTCTGCTGCCGCTGTCCCAAGATCCATGCGATGCCATGTGCCTGCTGCCACCAGGTGGGCAGGGAACATAGATAAATGCAGATGCAGCTCTCCCCACCACCACCCAGGTAAATGTGTGGGGGGAAGGGGTGGGGGAGAGGGAAAGGGCTGGAGGAGGGGGGCCAGATCCAGACCCCCACAGTGCAGGGGGAAGTGGAACAGGGGCAAATGGGGCCTGGGCTGGGCCATAGGACAATGGGAGCCCAATGGCACTTCCAGGGGCATGGGTGGGGGGGGCTCCCACTGTTGCATACACTGTGGGGGAAACTAGAAGGGGCATGTGTCCCCCCCCCCCCCCCGGGCAGGGGGGGGGGGG